CTCTTGACAGCAGTATAGAAACATGAGCAATTGAGTCAAGCTTATTCTTACAGGAATTTCCCAATGGCCGAGTAAATGATTTCTTTTTCCCTAATTCCCTTCTCAGAATTTTGCTGTTGTTCATGCAGAAATACTCTAGCATTGTGCCATGTAGTCATCTCTTATTAGACTGCAGGAGAATAGTCTCAGAGCTACAATGCTCGTGGGAAGGGCACATGAGATGTTCTGTAATAGACGGCACACTGCTAGGAACTCACATCAGGAAGATCACATCCTGACAAGCTGGGAAGCCTGGTCTTCAGCACTGGGGTGCTGAAAACTGAAAATTTCATTGGCTCGGAAACTAATTTGCAATTACTGACCTCAGAGGAAGCACTCCTAAAAATTTCATTTGCTAGAAAAGATGTAGCTAGGGATTGAAAGAGCACCCTTGAGTCTTTATAAATGAGAAGTAGAACCATTACTTCAAATGCTTTGTTTTATTCCACTGAAAACAAGAAAGCGAACCAACAGGAATGCTTGCTCAGATTCCATTCTAGCAGTTAGAAAAAATTGAATCACAATAGTCATCACAAAAGGGACCAGGAGGACAAATTATGTTAGGCAGGAGACCAGTCACGAAATGGGATACCTGGACCATGGCTTTGAATCTCCATGTGGGCAGGGTGAGGTTCAGTGTGGGTACAAGAATTACTCTTTATTTTTATCACTTGCTTCAAGTGATTAAATTCATGTTAACAATGAAAGCTTTCCACATAGTGACCATCTCCTATCCAGACAACTTAAATCAGTGGCCATCTCAACTGGATTCACCATCTGTCATCACTGTCAAAATGGACTCATGTGTGCCTCAATCATCCATTCGTGTACTTTTCATGCACCCCAAGAGTAAACAAAGAATTCCGTGTGAGCTTCGGTTGACAGACTTGCTCACCCTAACACACTATTCTTAATGTCATAATAATAATAATAATAATAATGAAAAAAGTTCACTTAATACCAGGCCAGTGATCTCCAATCTTCCTCTCAGAACCAACCAAAAAGCCCAAGCATGTGGGAGGCTCAACTCTCCAGGCATAATGGATATGCTATCCTAAACATGGGTTTGTATGAAGAAGTAGAAATGAATAGTATCATTTTCAGTGAGATATTCAAAGCCTGGGAGAGTCCTCCTTGTTCTTCATTTATTTTTCTAATGTATTTCAAAGCCATCATAGATTAGAAATGGACACCTTCTGAGTGGCTGTACCTCCATAATCTTCTCCATGCCCATCTCACTCTTACAGGTTTAGGAAATACCACATACTTAAAAATTCCAAATAAATGTCATTCTTGTTTTCACCCCTCCTACTCTAAGCATCCTTTCTCTTCTAAAGACTGCTAGAAGCTACAAATCCCTTCAAGGAATACATATTCACCACTCAGTTTGGCTTCATTTCCATGGTCAAGTAGAATTCTCAGGCGGGGATTCTCAAAGGATCATCAGCACTCCCTGGGGACAGCTTGGAAAGGCAAACATTTGGTTTGGTGTATACTTCAGACCTAATGAATCAAACCCAGGAGATGGGTCCCACTTTCTAGATTTTATGAGCTTCCAGATGGTTCTGATGAACAGTGAGATTTGAGAGTAGCTTAGCTACACCCTCCGCTATTCTGTTATGATAACAGCAGAAGAGTCTTACTTGGTTCTTCCATTCCTACTTTCCCTTCTGCAATTCATTATCTGTCCAGCAAGATATGTGTGTGTGTGTGTGTGTGTGTGTGTGTGTGTGTGTGTGTGTGTAGGTCAAAGGTCATATTCTAGCATAATTCCTCAGGAGATATCTACCTTGCTCTTTGATACAGGGATTCTCACTAGATCTTGGAATTCACCAATTATGCTAGGCTTTCTGGACAGTGAGTCCAGGGGACCCTCCTCTTGACTCTGCTTTTTCCAGCACTGGGATTACAAATGCATGCATCCACACTGAATTTTCATGTAGGGGCTGGGGATTGAACTCAGGATCTTGTGTTTGTGCAGCTAGGTCTTTAGCCACTGACATATCTTCCCAACCTCTCAAAGTGATTATTATTTTTAAAATTTTAAAATAAACTTAAAATATTTTTAATTTTTTTTCCATGTAGTCATATCTTTACTTAATTTGCCTCTTAATGGATTTTAATTTATCTCAGAAATAAAAGTAAGCCGTGTTATGATGCTGTACAAGAAAGCGCATTAATATGACTGCATGTCAATCTGATGCTTCTTATGACTTCTTCTCCCTTATCCTGAAGTGGTTATACTATCTATGGCTAAGCTTTTTGATCTGCCTTGTCACTCATATTTCTCACATTGGTGGATACCCATCCCTTAGATCCTTACCTCCCCATTTTCATCATCTTCTCTCCTACCTTTTTTTCAATCACACACTGAAATCTCTTGCATGCATGTTTACTCAAATGTGTACCTTATAGCTGTAACCTAGGTGGTCAGTTGTGTGAGATGTGTGACTGCATTTGTTTTATCTCCAATCTGTACCTGTCCAGTGCCTCTCATATCAAAGGAAGGATATATAACTGCGAAAAGAATAGTGACTTCCTAAATGGCCATTTACATACAATTTTGTTGACTGATTAATTCAAATAAAACAAAATGAGCATGCTTAGGCTCTCCCAGATCATAATCTAGTTGGCAAGGGCCAGGTGAGAATTCTCATGTACATTGAAATGTCTTACCTGCTAGAAACTTATCATTGGTGCTAAAGCATATGCTGAGAAAGACTAAAAAACCAATTTTACCCCCACTCCTAGGCATGATAATTTCTGCATAGGTCAACATACTGTAAGTTTTGAGTATATGTCTTTAATTTTGGTTGACTGCATTTGTACCAGTGACTCCAAGGAAGAACAGTTAGGTAGGCCAAACTGCTTTGCTTTTGATTTTATTACTGTTGATTATTATTATTATTATTATTATTATTATTATTATTATTATTTATCTGGTTTTTTTTTGAGACAGGGTTTCCATGTGAAGCTTTGTCTGTCCTGGACTCACTTTGAAGCCCAGGCTAGCCTCAGACTCACAGAGATCTGTCTGCCTCTGCCTTCCTGATTACTGGGATTAAAGACATGCACTACCATGCCCAGCCGCCGCCTTCTTCTTCTTCTTCTTCTTCTTCTTCTTCTTCTTCTTCTTCTTCT